GGCTGCCAGCCCAGTGCAACCACCACACTCATCTTGGTTTCTCAGGCTTTGGAGAATGAGGGAATTGCTAGCTGAAAGCTGCTCTGGTTAAATAAGGGCCGCTTTTTTGCAGGGGATGCAGTGAGTTAGTTGGTAAAATCCATCTTCAAACCTGTGTGCCTCTGTCTCCATCTTCCCTGTCTCCTGCACGGTTTCTTTGATCCCCAGGAGCGCAGCAGTGATGTGTTTAAGACGCCGTTACGACTTCAATATAAGGCAAAGTATAGGAAGATTTGTTAAGTGAGTAAGTTGTTGAGGTACTTTGTGGGCTTTCTAGTGAGAAATTTCAGAACTGTAAGATCTGGAGTGGCTGCTGTCTTACAAAGTTGAGCAAATGAACCCAAATTAAGGGAAATGTTTGACTCTCCTTAGTTTGATTTTTATTGAGCAACTGGGGCTGGGCAAGAAGATCTCCAGAAGTCTCTTCCAAGCTCAACTATTCTGTAGATTTCATTGTGTATCTTCCATATTAATGTTGTTGCAGTTCCTAAACTCTGCATTAATTTATTTAACGAGATGATACTAGAACACTTCGGAATCAGGTATATCGGGGACATTGCAGATCTCATCACTGGAGAGTTTTAAGAACAATTCAGGGAAACATTTGCCAGGAATAATGTAGGTAGTATTAATTCTGTTTTGAGGTTGAGAGCTAGACCAGGTGACTTCTCAAGATGTTCTACAGCTATGTTGTTTCCTGTGATTTTAGTGGAGGATTTAATGCACTTTTCAGTGGTTTGGTCAAAACCGCTCGCTTTGTTTCGTTTCGGAAGCATGTTTCTTAATTTACATTTGTGGGGAAAAAATACTTGCAGTCCCCTTGGCTTCATTGAAACTTTGCACAGGCTGTATGAAAAATGAACCTTAAAGAGGTTTGTTTGTATTGCCAGATATTTTAGGAATGCTGACTCGTTTTACCAGGCTGAGGGTGTGTACGCATGAGCCAATTACCATCAAATCAGAAGGATGAGAACTTAAAGGATGTCAAATGCTCCTGCCTTGTCTGTGTGCTTGGTTTTAACCCAAGCATCCAGTTCCTGCAAAGGAAATAACAGGCTGTAACCTCACAGCCTGGCTTACCATGCCCATGCTGTTAAAAGAGATCACTTGCCTCGTTTGAAGTGCTTTAAGCTCAGAGAAACTGAAATAAAACTAAGTGTAAGTGGTCAGTACTCTTCTGGAGCACGAGGCACACAGTGCTTGCACAGCACTGAACTCACAGAGTGTCTGCAGGTCAATGAAATCGTAGGGAGAGCGTCCTCAGGTAGAGAATGGAGACTCCTCTGGGCTGTGAAGTGGTTGGTGTTTTGGCATCATTAGTTTGTGAATTGGTTCAATGATGTACATGTGTTGTGAGTGCAGTATAGAGAGTGCTTTCTGTGACTGGCACACTCCACACTCTGGAATCATTCCATGCCCATCCCTGCAGGTGCTTAAAAGATGGCTAGGTGGGGTGCTTGGAGATCTGGTTTAGCAGTGGACAGGTACGGTTGGACTCGATGATCTCAGGGGTCTTCTCCAGCCAGGAGATTCTGTGATTCTATTCTGTGACTCTTCTGATTCGGTGCTCAGCTGGGAGCAGTAAAGAAACTATGCTCAATAACAAGAGATAGTCTGTGATTTCCACGGGCATCTGTGCGGCCCATGGCTGTGTTTTATAGGCACTGTCTTCACTGGTGTGTGGTGAAGGCAGCAAAACGCCGTGCATGATCTGTGGAAGGTTCAGTGAAAGTCCCAAACTCTTAGTTTGCAGTAGGATGACCCCATTGAGACGCCAACCACCGGCTTTTTTTTCCTGTTTGAGACTTTGCTGCCTTGATTCCTGTTTATCTCTCTCTTCTTATTCTTTTCCTAAGGTTCAAATGTGGGAATTGCCGCGGATGTGGTTGCTGCTGCTTCTGCCCTGGGAAAATGCCTTGATAAGGAATTAACACCATTCAGTGATGGGCTGTGGGACCAGCAAAGTGCTTCCCGAGCCCCCCAAAGATGTCCAGCTAGACCTGGTTAAAAAAGTTGAACCTTACACAGGCTACAGTGATATATACAAACATTTCATCAAAGATGACTGCGGGACTGTCATCAAAGCTGGCTCCCCCTCACCTCCCCGTCACGCTAACCCCTATCCTGGGAACCACCTCCCTGCCCACGTGGACCAGCCCGAGCCCCGTAAGAACAAGGTGGCTAAATACCGCGCCAAGTTTGACCCCAGAGTGACGGCCAAGTACGACATTAAAGCTCTGATCGGGAGAGGGAGCTTTAGCCGCGTGGTTCGGGTGGAGCACAAAGCCACCAAGCAGCCCTACGCCATCAAGATGATCGAGACCAAATACCGGGAGGGGAGGGAAGTGTGCGAGTCGGAGCTCAGCGTGCTGCGGCGGGTGCGGCACACCAATATCATCCAGCTTATCGAGGTGTTTGAGACCCAGGACCGCGTCTACATGGTGATGGAACTGGCAACGGGAGGAGAACTGTTTGATCGAATCATCGCTAAAGGGTCCTTCACCGAGAGGGACGCCACGCGCGTGCTGCAGATGGTGCTGGATGGCGTCAGGTACTTGCACACGTTGGGGATCACGCACCGGGACTTGAAACCAGAGAACCTGCTGTACTACCACCCGGGAACGGATTCCAAAATCATGATCACGGACTTTGGGCTGGCGAGTGCTCGGAAGAAGGGAGACGATTGCCTGATGAAAACCACGTGTGGGACCCCCGAGTACATTGCTCCCGAGATCCTGGTCAGGAAGCCCTACACCAACTCTGTGGACATGTGGGCGCTGGGCGTTATCTCCTACATTCTCCTGAGCGGCACGATGCCCTTTGAAGATGACAACCGCACCCGTCTGTACCGGCAGATCCTGAAAGGGAAATACAGTTACTCGGGCGAGGTGAGTGGCAGGAGTTATGGTGAGGAGAAGTCAAGCCGAGAAGCTCTCCGTAGGTGGGTCTTTGTGCTGTCCAGAAGCTGGCTGTTGTGTGCAGGGTGGTAACATTGCCAGGGTTAAGAAAAATATATGTGATTCAGGCTTTTAAAATCCTTTCCTGATTTCTGTCTGCTTTCAAAACTGCTTCCAGTGCAGCACAGGGAGCTCTTCTTAAAAGTGTAAAGAAAGAAGAGGTCTCTTCCTGTATGAGGAACTGGGATGCTTGTGGGTTTCTACCTGGGGAGACCTCAGGTAGCTCTGGTAAGCTGCTGTTTGATGCTTCACTGTTGAAACTCATGGCAGGGGGAGCATTTGAAACTTCAGTGTGCACATAGTGAGTCTCGTTTCTGATACAAATCCAAGTGGAGACTGAAAATGACCTTTGCTGAGGGACAAGGTTATGGCAGACAAAGGACACAGGCTTCTTAAATCTGGAGACGTGAGCATCTCTGACATTGATCTGTATTGTCTCCTCAGCTTAGTACGTGACAACATTGAGGATGGAGGATAGTTTTCTTAGATAACTATGGAAAGAGGAACCTTGAGGTATAGATTTTAGGCAGAAGATGAGTGCTCCTACCCTCACAGAGTCCCATCACTCTGCAGAATGGCTGGGTGCCAGGCTGACAGCTCCTGCTAACCCGCTTCTGGTCACGGTGGGAGATCTCTTAGAATCATAGAATGGGTTGGGTTGGAAAG